AATCCTTTTACTTCAGCTGCTGCAGTCAGAGCAAGATTGGATAGATGAGATGCCTTTGTTCAAATGGCTGCTGCTGCGGCTCTGTCCGGCTGACAATAGTCCTCCTACTTCCACTGCAGGGTTTGGACCGATGTAGGACGACGGAGATGCATTTTCAGATGGCTGAAATGTAATCAAGGCCAACAGGGTAGGACTGGGTACTTTAAGTAGTCTTCCGCTACTTGATTTTTTTATTTTTTTTTTAAGAACTCAGGCCCCAATCTATTCGTGGGGAGCATCACATGCTGAGAATCAGGCTCAGCATCCCTTATGAGCTTCATAGGTGAAAGTTTGAGACAAACATAAAGGGCCTAACGAGTAGAACCACAAAACCTATGAGCAACTCAAGTCGCTCAGGAGCCTGTAAACCAGAACCTAACTCGGATGCAACTCAGTGGCCCAAATCCTCAGCCTCCCTAACATTCTACCTCATTACCAAGCCTTAACCAGGCCTCACACCCCCATCTGCCAGGTTACAAAGGCAGCGAGACCTGCTTCAGAACACACCCCCATCTGCTAGGTCACAGGACAGGCGACTGGCCCCGGCTCCGAGCAGCGTTGTCTTGGTAACAGCCCACGAACAGCCACTGAAATGCCTTCCGCCCTCGACAATTCCCCAGATCTCTCTACCAGGCCTCATGCCCCCCCCTTGCTCAGGTTACAGGGCAGCGCGACCCAACCCCAGCACCGGCCAGCGTCATTCTGGCCTCGGTCAATCGCAGGCCACTGAGAATGACGACATCAGCAAAACCATCGGATGGACCACCAAGTACCACCTCCGCCCTGATTCCGCCTTACCTATGCTGACTCTACTCAACACACCCATGACCCCACCCCCCTTCAACCCCCTTACCTTACTCCGGCAAGACTTATTACAGTAGAGCCACCATCTCTACCGCGGCTATGCCCTAGCTCAATCCTGCCGACTAGCCCCTTCACCAGCAGATCGTGTGATTTCCCACCATCTCCGTATCCCTCTCAACCACT